ATCTTAGCGTCCTTTTGACATATGCTTGTAAATAATTGAAAATATTTGGATTCATATCTCACAAGAACCAGCAATAAAGACATGTTCTGCACAGTATATGAATTCATCATAAAACGAGGCTTGTTTTCAAGCCAGGAAGAACAAATAAGTGATTATGAATTGTTGGCGTGATCGGAATCACGTTTTTTTCGAAAACCTATAATCAGGAGGCTAAAGGTGGAAACTGCATCTATCTGAAGACACATAATGTGTATGACTAAGGATCTTCTACCTAAAAGTGGGTCTAATTTTCTCTTTTTTAGTACTTTCAGCGCACACGTAATTTTATGGTCGTCGACACGTGACATACATCATCGCAATAAGCTAATTGGAGGTTTTTCCGCTGCCTTCCGGTGCTATCCTATGGTCATTCGTTCACGTGAAATCAACTGCTCGCTAATTCTGAATATGAATTTAACAAAACGCGCAACTTTGAGCAATTGTATATGTTGCATCAGTTAAACGGCTGATCGGACGTGGTAGTTATACAAAGTTTAGTCGTCGCATTCAGCGTTAAATTGTCCACATTACATTGACTACTTATTTTAGATATTGCCGAATGTAGCTATCTTTAAATGCGATTTTGTCTGGCAGCTTTTGGTAAGTGTACCTTGGTAGGCTTAAAATTGCTGTGTGCTACGTCCAGCTTAAAACCAGAATCAAACTATTTGTTATCCTTGTAATTTAAATGAAAATATATTTGCCGTTGATATATGGGACAACAAATTAGACACATTTCCAAGATGTTGTCTGCGAACGACCACAATATATCACCTTTTCATGGGTCTGAGAACAGAGTGAAAAACGACAATTCCAGTCAGCGCCAGGAAGGTGGGTCCCGGTGAAGGTAATTATATGCGGATGGCTGGCTTGGTGGTTATGACCCATGGCAACTGTGGAATCTGAATGAAGTTCTTCTGTGCGCATAGGACCGGTCCGCGTAGCTTGATTGCAGCCGCCTCTGCCTCCGCCAACAAGCGTTGCCCAAGTACTTTTGGATAGTTTGACGAAACCTTGTAAATCACCGTGAAAGCCTCTCTGGCGTCTGCACTGTGCGCGAGGATACAGTTGTTGTTATTTATCTGGGCCTTTCCTAACCATACTGGAAAATGTTCTTTTATTCTTTTGAATAAACACTGGCTCGTGCTGCCAATATATTCAGCCCACAGGAGAGGGTGAAGCTGGTGGCGGTGGCCTGAGCTGGTGGTTTGTCCTTGCCCTCTCCGTATAGGATTGGACTAGTGGAGAACAGTACATGGGTTACATCTGCTGGAAAGGTCTGTGATACAGCTTGCTTTAGGCGTCTTCTTAAAGGATCATTTGGTCCGTCCCCAGGAAATGGGGTACTGATGAAGAGTCTTTTCTTTCCTATCGTCATTAGGTGGCCTATTGGTTATGCTTTTAACAGTGAATCGATCAAGATACCAGTTCTAGCGAAAAGGGCTTTCGATTATATTAAGCCCTTTCTCAACACTATTAGCTGCGCAGATTATCCTCACCCTCTATGTCAAACAGCGGACAAGATTACGTTTAACGTTTAGTGGTACGAATCTCCCAAAATGGGTGCATTGTCCGGACCACGTTTTCTTACGATAGACGCTACGTCGAATGCTGCCGTCAGGCCTTCTACTCAGATGCACATCCAGAACGGGAAGCGAGTCGGACAGTTCTTTTTCCAGATTGAATTATATAGATGACTAAGCTTGATTTATGTCATCCAGTAGAATTGAGAAGTCATTTTGTTTCTGTGCAATTGCGAATATATCATCTAAGTACAGCCTGTAGTATCGTAGACAGTTGATCTGTTGACGTAACTAGAAAGTTTCTAGCTTTCCTATGAATATGTTTGCCAAAAGCGGGCTTGGGAGTGAGCCTTTTCCTACTCCGTCCATCTGTCTATATAGATTGTTGTCAAATAGGAACTGCGCGTTCAAGGTTCGCCTCAATAACAATAGCTTGAGGGCATTTACTGGCATTCCTGTATCCTGTTAATTGTCGGTAATGAAGTCAGAAATGTAGTTGACCGTTTCCGTTATCGGTATGTTTGTAGAAAGGGATAAGAAATCTAACGAAAACATGAGCATTTCGTTCAGTTCAAGGTCTTTCACTCCGTTATTACATTGAAAGGTACCTCGATAGCAATGTTGCGCTAGGTGATACTGCAGAGGCGTACGTTTCTCGGCCAGCCATTTCGCTATTACATGGTGCGGCGAGTTTCTCATGTCGAAGATTGGGCGAACCGGCGTTCCATCTTTGTGGATCTTCGGCAAGACATAAAATCCAGGTTTGTGCGTACCGACGGGTCTGAACGATCCTTCTCCTTTTCTATCTTTGAAAGTTTCCTGATCCGACAGAACTGACTGTGTTTTTGTAATCTAGTCTACCCTGTCCATCAAAAAAACGTCAGTTCCCTTATCTGGCCTAGTGGTCAGAATGTCTTTGTTCAGCCGGATTTTCTTTAATTTCTTAATGTTCGAATTCCACAACAAGTCCCGATATTTCTGACGACTGTTCAGGTATCGATAGGAGCCACTGACTAACGTGAACTTAATATGTTGTATGCTCTCTCTTGAAACTGGCTGAAGGTCATCTGTTTGATTCAAAGGGCACTTGAACTGTGTTTCGAAATCTAGCTGGCTGGCTTTCTGACGAGAGCAGCAAAACTTAGAAAACAACGATAAGACTTAAGAAAACTTTCAACACCGGTTCTTAAGGTCGTCGTCAGGCTTGTGCAAATGTGCAAAAACCAATTAATATTTCAAACGTTCTAAAAAAATCGATATCTAGTTGGCGTTTGCGCCAGTACGCTGCCGCCCTGTGCGTCATTCTGTATTGATTGGCTGTCTTTCTTTCCAAATTCCCCCGAGATTTTTGTACGTGGTATCTAATTTACTATGTCGATTGATACACGACTCTTCGAAGTGCATGGTTCCAAGAAATTATCCGTCTCTTTTAGACGGGAAAACTCTGGCGAAACGAGATCTGGCCCATGCGAAGGTGTTTTCAGTATCAAGGGTGTGCATGGCAAGTTGAGACAGATGATCTCGCCTCTTAACTGCCAATTGATGTTTTGTTAATGCGTCTAGAGGCAGCTTTTCCCGTTTGGCCCCAATATACGGCATCGTAGGCATCGCGTCGGAACTTATACACAAATTCCTTTTTATCGAGAAGCCAACCCATCCTAAGGGTGTACCAGCTGACTGAGAGAAGTAGTCGTCCGTTTGCGCGAGAGACCATCTGTCTCAAATGCCCATGCATACCATTGGTACTAGACAAACCTTCGCATGGAACAACACTATTATTGTCGTAATTTACCTATCTAAAAAGGTCGAGAGGTTCTCGAAGCCACGCGCTCCGATGAATCATGTATCAGTACGCACAAAGAATGAGATACCACGTACAAACATCTCAAAGAAAGGTGAAAGAGTCCAAAGTCATTTAATACAGGCCGATGCTCAGGGCGGCTATTTACTGGCTGAGGCTGCAAATGAATATTCATTTCTTAGCATGTTTTCAAATGCTAATTGTTTTTGCACGCTTACTGAAGACTGACGACGACCTGAAGATCCAGCGTCAAAAAGTTACTCAATAAAGTTTTCCACATTTCCCGAGGCACGTATCTGCGTCAAATTATATTTCTTGGGATGCCTGCGTTTTAGTTTTTACATGTATATATTTGAATATCAGATGTGGTGAGCATTCCGAAGTGATATAACGAGAAACTGAAGGCTCTTCGGAGGGCTTACATACACGCTCACTGTCTTGTTCCCACACCTCACCAACTGCTAACCCCCACTCGGCCACATAGGCGTATGCTGTTTCGCCTTTCCGCTCTCCCCCCCCCTTGCGACACGGTGAACAACAACCCAAACCCCCCCAACACCTCCAACGCCGGCGCATTGCCCCCTGACCTTATCCCGCATCAGTGACCAGCCGCCCGCAATCCCACTGATTCGCAACCCCCCCCCGCGTTTTCACCACCTCCAACACTGGGCGCCCTAACGGTTCTTCCTTCTCTCCCCCTGCCCCACGGCCTCCCATAACTAGATGCCCACCTCCCCTCTCACATATTAGCTGTCTGTTTGTCGTTGTCTGTCCTGTCGTGCCAGCCGACCTAGTCTGCCGATTTCACTTTCCCCTCTGTTCATATCGTCTGACAACGGGTCGGTGTCACCGACTTAAAAATTCACGAGTACAACTCAATTTTCCGAAGAGCCTTCACTTTCTCATGTATATATATATATGTTAATATTTATGAGGCTCACATTCACATCTCACTAATTCGTCATACCTTCAACAACTGCTTCATTCGTTTTTCGAGTCCTTTTAAATATTGGCGTGCTAAACTTGCTTGTCTCCTAGTGGTCTTCCTCCTCAACTCGCTTAAAAACTAATGTTCTCATTTGCAATTCCTGTATTTTCACATTCAAACTTTAAACTTTGGTATTAAAACACAACAAATAAAGTGCGAATCACTTACGTAACAACCACGATGCTACGAAATAGGTCGTAATTTGTTTTACGTAATACAATTATCCGCAGTAAGACGTGAGAGTATAGAGATCTGAATCTACGTACAAAGACCGGCTAGCGCAGTAACAAACGTGTTCCAACCTTAAATTCCCTTAATTTGATTACGTAATCGGCAACGCACTGCTGCAAACATGAGACCATGGCGCTCAGGTCGGAAATCAATCGATGCCATTCTCTCAGATGCGCACTCACCCGTGAAAAACACAGCACAGAGCCGGCAGCTGCCTACTGAGACTCCCAAGTGCTCGAGGAAAAGAGCGCACTGCGCACTGCGCGCCAGCAGATGGAGTCATCAAAACTTGCACACACACACACACACATATATAGGTTTTCCCCAGCCGAAACAGACATTTTACCCACCAAGTTTGCTTAACCTCGACACGTGTTCAGCTCTTCCTTCCGCCACCCTCGTTTCCTGAGCCCCTACAATGCCGACCACGAAAGCCGTTGTCAAGCAGGCAGACATGTTGGAGGAGATGCAGCAAGAGGCCGTGAACCATGCCTACGAGGCTCTTCGATGCGAAGGCCAGTACATGGATATTGCAAAGCATGTTAGGTGCCACTTCGATCGCATATATGGTCCTTCCTGGAGTTGCGTTGTCGGCAAGGACTTTGGAACGTGAGCAGTGTTTTTATTAGTCGGTTTCTTAGCATTACTTTTATTGTCTGTACATGAAGTGATACAAATAGTTGATAAAATCGGCGCTTCAGTAGTTTGCCACGGGAATGTGAAAGTAAAATCACTTGGCCATCTAGGAAAACGGAATGAGCTGGAAGGTTCGTATACAGGGAAAGCAGGTCACGACCATAATGCTCGCTAGATGACTATTGACTCTGACTTCTAGCAGAACGTCTTTCTAAACAACCAAACTGACTTTACTAATCAAACTGCCTAAATTCGTATGCCATAAACGCATATAGCTCTTTTGCATAATTTATATTATCTCGAACTTGCGGGTTTGATCCTATGAGGAAAACGATAATGACGTTATTGAAAAGTGCCCTGAATAAATTAAATCTAGCTTCAACCCCGTAAAAATTTTACATCGTTGCTTTTCACAAGAAGAAAATATTTGATTCACCAGTGTCATTTTGGTATTTCGTCAGGTTCATCCAGCGTTACCTACAGGAATATGCTTGGGTAATTATGGACAAACACAAATATATGGTAAAACATAGGGAGACATTTTGGACTGAATTAGAAGATAAAAAATGTCCTCTGCCAATTAGGCTAGTTTATAACTCACGAGAGCGCATATATGGTGAAGGACTGTACACTCAATCAGCGCTATTCTATGTAATTGCATCTTTATCTTATTTAAAAGTACAGGTGATGATTCTGCGACCGTAAAAGCGTTAAATTTTAATAAGTGTGCCTGAATGGGTAAAATCGATTTTTATAGGCCTTTGTGGCTGTTTTACAATATTTGCTGACCAATAAAATATGAGTGAAATATCAAAATGCATTTATTAGGCGCACAAGGATTATAAATAGATTATTAGCAGTTCACATAAGGCAATTGTCGCCTTAACAAGAACATGCATAAATATCTCTCTTATATGCCCATAACACTGTATGCGTTAACAAATATGACTACACATGTGGTGTTTAATAACGTATTTTCTTTGTTTATTCAGATCGTTTGCCTATGAACGCAAGCACTTAATTTCCTTCGAGATGAAAGGCGTTACCTTCCTCCTTTTCCGGGGAGCATAGAAATCTGGCAAATATCCTTTTCAATTGTTACGTATGGCATGAAGCCCAGTTATATTTTCAAGCAATATTTGTATGTTTTATGTATGCAATAATACATACATCTCATTAAAAACGTGTTTTTGAACTCAGACTAAGTTACAAAAACGCATTCATTTCTGTACCAGCAGAAAGATTTGCAGCCCTTGACCAAGGTTATGGGGTGTAAAACCCAGTGGATAAGTCGGCGCCAGTTCAACTACCAGACCATCCAGCGCATATGCTACCTTTCGGTTAAAGTGGCATCGAAAGCTGATACGTGGTAAAGCAATTGCTACAGGCTACCTATACAAACCGCGCTTTTGGTGAAGTCACTTTTAGATGTAGAAAATCACACATGGTCCAAGAATACTTTTCTGACTACTTCATTAAGTCCCGCAAATTTTCATCCTATGGCTACTTATTGTTTTGTAAACCATATCATGATTTTAAACGGACTACAGTGTGGCTGGCCTGTATAAGCTATAAGGTCTTTTTTCGGAACGCTTTAGAGCTATCAGGTCAAGTCCTGCACCGTGTGTAGCGAAACGTCCAAGCATAACAAATCTGCATCAAAATGTCCTTTGAAGGGAACACAATTTTATCTACGGGACTTCAGATAATGGCCGGAACGTAACAAAGCGCTTCTAGGGAAGCAGTTTGAGACCAAGTTCGCTCAATGGAATAACGATGATAAAAACTGTAAAACGATTTTCCTCTTTTTCATTTATAAGCCTTATGATTCGACCGACCCAGTTCGGTCCTTTGACATTTTAACGCAGTGTCCGCAAGGATGTCTTGAGACAAATGTAGAAGTGACATTTAGCCTTTCCTGCGTTTTGGATCACCAACCGGTCTATGTGGATAACGGGTGCTTGCATTTTGAATTAGCGGCTATTTAACTCATGCTGGAAATAAATACTTTTAAAATCAATTGAATGTTTCTCAAGTTCTTGCGATCCTAGAAGAATACTTCGACCGAACATTAAAACGTGGATCTAGCTGCTCATAATTCCAACCGCATGCTGTTTGCTTACCAATTCTCACGGAACAACCTTCATCTTGGTATTAATTTTGCTCTGTTAATGACATATTTCAGGCCCATGCTAAAACAGAATAATTCTAGAGGGAGCTCGCCAATATTATCGCAGAAAATTGAATGCATGTGATCCCGACTAATTTAAAAAAAGTTGCTTATAAGGATTGCCCAGTTTTTTTGACAAAAAAATCTCCGTCGCATTTGGATACCTAAATATTGACGCCCTCGTTTTGCATGTGGCCTCACGCTAAACTTTGACAGTTTCTCATTCCCGTCCTATAGCCTTAAGTTTGACCCTATTCCTAAGCGTTCTGATATTAGTACCCTTGGTAACCAGGTGAAAGTCACGTGCAGTGTGTAGGTCCACATTCTCGTGTGCGATCGAAACGTTATTAAATTTAAATCAGGGAAGTTAAAAGGGAGGCACTTATAGGCAGTGTGTCTAACCCTTATTATGTGCAACCTTGGACATATACGAGCACTGTTTTTGGTAGGTAGAGAATTAATAATTAAAATTGAATTATCCTGCAGCCAAATTACTGACAGAAACCAACGCACTGAAGGCATGAACTTCAGTTAGCAACTAAGGATGTTGGCTAAATAATGAAGCTATAAATTACCTTGGATTCAAATAAAGAAAACTTGCATTATGACCTAATGCTGATTAACTTGTAGGGATACTAACGGTTTCAACTTTGTTAATATCCTCGTATATATCGAACTCAGAAATTAGCTGAACTTTGCGAAATATGCTAAAGGTTTGAAAACGCTATATTTTGGAATCTGAAACCAGCATCAGAGTACGGTTAGCGTTCAAATACTTTGCCTTAGTAGCTGTTTTTGAAGGCATATACATACAAAACGCTGAGCGAGAGAGAGAGAATAAAGCTTCTGCCGCATCGTACATTTGCAAGAGGGACGTACTAGGGATGATTTCAAACAAGCCAGATCGTTTATACGACGGTAGCAGAAAACGCTTCGTTCAATCGTTTGGGTGTGCAAAAAGCTTGATTCAAAGGGCGACATGGATGTTCTAATGCAGATATCTTACGGTAACTGGGTTTTGTACTAGAATTTTTGACCTCTATGCTAACAAAGTGCTTTTGAATGGGCGCCAGTATGCAATAAGAGCTTTTGGGCTCGTTAGGGATTTAATTTGTTAAATTCAGGCGTACTTTATGTGGTTGGCTAAACCAAATTTAGGCTTGTCGGACACATAAAATAAAAGTAATAAGAGTATCTAATTACTCTGAGAAAAGTGTGCTTAAGTGCGTATGCTAGTGCATGACAGGAGTTTAGTCGTGACCCAGTTAACGGTCGGTTTTTCCTGCCGACTCTTTCAGATCAGAGGATACATTGATACAACTGATGGGAACTAGATTTGTTGACTTGAATTTAAATAGGCTTGCTTCAAGTCCTTTCGGAGTTTTGGTTGTAGTATATGTAGACGTGGTGCACCGTAACAAGCAAACATAAATTCTGAAGGTATATTAAAGTTTTCTGTCACCCATCAGCTTCCAATTTGCTGTCTGGCTCTGGAGGTCGTCATTTAAACACTAATGCGTGTCCATATAAGTTTGTTTCCTCTCTGTTTTCATGCGTACCGCAAGCATGGAACATTGCAGTGATTATTGTTGCGGTAGTCAATGATAGAAACCGATTGCCTTTGCCCAAATAAAAACAAAAGTACGGTCTGATGCTTTAATCTGCTTAAATTGTGCTAACTCATGAAATTTTAACCGGAGTTCTGAAATGTGACTTCGACCCGCAGACACTACCTATGTAGGCATAAATGTTGATAATCGAGTCGCATAATATCAGGATAGCCCATTCACATAAGAATGCCGGCTTCCAAACGAAATCCCTATCGACTACCTGTGTACCTACATTTCGTAGAGAACGATAACCTAGGTAGAATGAATCCTTTTCACTCTTCAAATTTTATACTTTAAGTGAGGACAAATAGCCAAACCTATCTTTACAGTGCACAAGCTGACTGCATAATGCAGTCGTCGGTTGTGCTTTTCCAAAGAACCTACTACCTTTTAATCATATTTTTGGGGTACCTGCGTTTCAATATTTACATGGCACACCGCAACTACCTCG